TTCTATCTAATAAAATCGTACCGGAAGTGAGAAACAAAAACTTTGGGGGCCCATAACCCCGCATCCCGGAGACCCGGGATAGTCCAATTTCTCCAGTAACAATTTTTTAGGCGACGCCTTTCGTTTGAGACCGGAATCTCGGCCCTACGCCAATTTTTGGGGGGGGGTCGGTTCTGGTTTCAAATTACGAAAAACCGATCGTCACAGCAGGAGCGCCCCCAGGCGGAATAAATTAGAAACTTTAAAAGTTTTAAAGTGTTAGTTTGTGATCAAACACAATACTCCGGTATAGTAGTAGTAGTAGTAATAGTAGTAGTAATAGCTTCACTATCACAAATTATATTAAATATTTTATTTTTGTACGGGGTTCGATTCCCGTAGTTAAAAATCTGTAAATTTTTATTTTTAAGTAGGTTAAGTTAGTGTAAGACAAATAGGGACCGGGCATACCCCTGATACCATCACCCCACCCCCCTACCCCACCACCCCCTCCCCTAACTCCTTGCGTGGGTACTAGACCCCCCGTGCTTGGGTCCATTTGAACCAGCAGGGGGTAAAGAACACATAGACCTCGGCCATTAACGCCGACCCCACGACCCCCCCCCCCCCCCTCTCCCCATCTATTTTACCTCACCCCCTCTATTTTAGACCCCCCCTAACTCCGTTCCCGGGGCGCCTGGACCCCCCGAGTCTGGACTCGTCTGAATCGGCTCGGGGAGCCCAGCTGACTGGTCGGGTCTGTACCCTTACCCCCACCCCTCCCCTTACCTCACCCCCCTAATACCAACCTGTCCCCGGAGCACCTGGACCCCCCCGTGTTTGGATTCGTGTGAATCGGCAGGGGAGGCCCAAACGTTCTATCCCGTCAACCTAATTTACCCGCCCCCTCCCCCTTACCTCACCCCCCAACTCTTAACTTTGTCCCCAGAGGTTATTGGTTGGTTTATATTGGTTATAGGTGTTAAGACATCCGGACCCCTCCTAGCGCCAGCCCGCTCCTGGTGCGGGCTCCGTCTTAATATAAAAAAAAAAAAAACCTAACCTAACCTAACCTAACTCCGTTGCGAGAGATAAAAAGTCTGAAAACCATAAAAAAATTGTACTGTTTGACCTCAACGAACACTACACCTCTTTGAAAATATAGCCAACTTAAACCTCACAGGTTATATTGAAGATATATTTAGAATTGGTAAAAGAGGAAGTCGCAGACCAGTAGTAATTGAACTACGAGTATTAAGCAAAAGGATGATACGATATGTACTCCAAAATGATCGATTCTTTAGAAACACCGGAATGGCTATATCAGAATTCTTAGACAAAAAATCTGTTCAAGAATGAAAATTACAAGGACAGATGCTTTTGAAAGCAAGGCAAAATGGCCATCACGCTGTAATCAGGAATAATAAACTAATAATAGACGGCAAAGAATCTTCAGGGCCCTGTGAAGACATGATTACCCATCTAACCCAGACCTCTACTTACAACATTGAACATGCAACGACATTACCATCGCAAACAACACCAACAAATGTGCCTCTGCCCTTTCGTGAATAGCTTCGACATTTTTTATCAAAACATATGTAGAACATACAGAAACATACAAGCTATTTGTTTAACAGAAACATGGATAAAAGATTCGAAGATAGACTTACTACATCTGGATGGATTCAATCTGGCATCTTTCTACTGCAGAGAGAACTATGAGGGTGGTGGAGTCTGCATCTTTATAGAGGATACTATTATAACCTTAGAGAGAAGTGACATTACTGAGTTGTCCATTGAGTTTATATTTGAAATCTGTGCAATAGAAATTAGTAAGCAAAACCTATTGATCATAGTCGTATACTGGCCACAAAAAAACCGAAAACCAGAAATATTCTACGAATCCCTCAGAAAGCGTTTGCAGAAATTATATAAAAAAGATAGAAAAAAGAATATTATAATTGGAGGGGATTTCAATATTAATATACTAGTAAACTCTTCCATAACCACGGACCTACTAAACCTAATGAATAGTCATAACTTTTATCAGTGCATTAAATCACCTACAAGAATGACTAAAACAAGCTCCACATATATTGACCTTATATTCATTAATTTCAAATTAAAAGAATTTTCTGCCTCTGTAAACGAATATGGCCTGTCAGATCATAAGGGAATTTTAATATCATTGCCCAAAATTGAATCTGTAGTTAATAAATTGGAAAAACCATATCCAAAACGTGTCAAATAAATTATCAAAATTTACCTATGCACTTTACGAGTTAAAAAGAACTACGGACATTAAATCGGCAAAAGCTGCTTATTACGCATACGCGCACTCCTGGCTTCGTTATGGTATAGTGCTCTGGGGAAACAGTGTGGACGCTGACAAGCTATTCAAACTTCGAAAAAAGTGCATTCGAATCCTATCCAACATAGATGGCATGGCAAGCTGTAGACCACATTTCATTGAATATGGTATACTGACACTCACATCCCTTTACATTCTTGAAATATGTCTCTTTGTCAACGAACACATGCCTCTTTTTCCTTCGAACCAAGACCACTACACTCAACCTCGTAGCTTACGACATAAAGACAGATTGGCACTGCCAATATCCAACCTCTCAATCTACCATTCGGGTCCGTATGTTATGTGTATAAAAATATACAATAAAATACCATAGACACTTAAAGATTTAAAATCTGATAACATATTTAAAAATAAGTTAAAGAATTACTTATCACAAAAAGCATACTACTCTCTGCAAGAGTTTTTTGAAGATAGGCCACAATAATAATAACAATAAATACTGTTGTTTGTGATATTGAATTTTAAATTTATCTGCAAAACTAATATTATATAGAACTAAATTTATAAATTGCATTTATAGGAAAAATAATTAGTGTAATGATATACTTCATTGTGACATAATAATATTTGTAATTGGTAATTTAATTTAGTGTATAAATATTTTAATTTAATGACATAGATGATAACGCCTAATACCAACAAAATTGCTGTGCCCTAGCAGGGTTTCATGTCTTTAGAACCAAAATTGTAATTAACACCTTATGTACACATGAACGCAATAAAAACTTTGACTTTGACTTTGAGCTGTTTCTGCAGCACTGGTACCACGGTAGAACTCGTACTCGAAAATATACCGATATGTCATGGTTTGGATTGTGCGGTAATAAGCGATGCTAAAGAAATAAATAATGAGGAAAAAACAAATGAATGACTGTTTTCAAAACTCTAACAAGCTAAATGAATTTATAAATTTGAAAAAATCGAATTTCTTAACCAAAGAGAAGCTATTTCAGATCAAAGTGGTCAGTACGACAAAACGTTAATTTCATATTTAAGGACCTAATATATGCCTCTCTCTCTAAAAGTCTCTCCTTTCGTGTTGAAGACGTGCGCTCCGGAGTTGGCACTGGTTCTAACTCCTGGAAGGTAGCGTTTCTACACCCAATCTATATCGTATCAGTATCGGAATCCTAGGCATTGACATATTGAGCAAAGTCAAGTTTTGGGGCTACTTAGAGGTAAGGTCAAATTCGCCTCGAAGAAGCTCGGTGTGCTGAACAGATCAAGGTAGTATTTCACCCCGGCCCCACGACCTTCAGCTCTATAAGGCGCAAGTCCGGCCGCATATGGAATACTGTTCTCATCTTTATGCAGGGGCACCTCAGTACCAGCTTCTCCCTCTTGACCACAACCAACGAAGAGCGACTCGAATCGTTGATAGCCCAAACATCTCCGATCGGCTCGATCCCTTGGCATTACGTAGAGATGTGGCTTCACTCTGCATTCTCTATCGCATATATCATGGAGAGTGCTCCGAGGAATTATTCGGACTAATACCGGGCGCAACTTTCCGCCATCGTTACACACGGCAAAGTTTTCATCCCCATTACTGGGATAGTTGGCGCTCCACCGCTGTGTGCTTTTCGAGACACTTTTTGCCTCGCACAAGCAATCTGTTGAACGGGTTTTCATCTGTGGCATTACCGGACCGATACGATTTTTAAGAAAAGAGCGTACTCCTTCCTAAAAGGCCGGCAACACTTTTGTGACTCCTGAGTTACAGACATCCGTTGCAGATGGTCACTTGCCATCAGGTGACTCGTCCGCTCGTCTGCCCCCTCTATCATAAAAAAAGACGGTAAACACTACACATTTTAATTTGAATAAGAATAATGTTGTAATTTAATATATGTAAACTGTTAAATATATGTGTGCATAAAAACTATTGAAATTAGTACAAAATTTAATTATTTACCTACGTAAATTTATATGAAATAAAATGTTAGCAAACCTATGACAACTTAACGTTAAAACGTTCAATGTTTGTATATATGTATTTATCTCAGTGTTTCTGTCTAACTTCTCAATAATTTTCTCTTATTTATCAATGTCTAGTGCAACTAGTCACACCTTTCAGCACCGCCCTAATGTAGACTGGGAGAAAATGCCTGTGGCATTAAGTCCGCCATTGTATACTTGTGCATAAAGTACTAAAATTAAAATAAAATCCTTCTTTTTCTGAAGTCTGTTAATAATGTTAAGATTCATTACTTTGCGTGTTAATGTTTATTAAACTTAAGAAAAATCCACAAAAACAGTACATGTTTTCTCTCCCTCGTTTCGCGCTTCTAAGAATTGTTTAACTCAACCACGTATATAACTGCCCAACATCAGCCGTTGGACCGCGTTCCGCCAGGCATGAGCACCTCGTCTGGTCGGAGGATCTTCCCTTCATTTTGGAGGGACATCAGATCCATTCCTCCACAGACTTACATAAACTGAGTCGCCTCTTGCATATTTACCTTATAAACGTTTAGATTTCCTAACAATGTCCCATCCAGTAGCTGAATTCATGACACACTGTTGCCTGGTTCTTACAAATGACATATAAACTTTACCCTGACAGTACACTATTGTGATTTAAACTTATAAGAGATTCAATGAAAAGTTAAGTCGAATGATGCATTAAAGTGCAAGCGTTCAGGCGGAGGAGCTTGCGCGCGCAGCTCGGGTGTGGGTCGAGAGGGGGCAGCGTGCGGCCTGGCTCGGCGGCGCTCGGCCGCGCTGCAGTGTGACGCGGCGTTACGTCACCGCCGCACGTAAAGAGGGGCCCGCGAAACATTCGCGTAGCGACCGCCACGCCGCTGCTGCCGCACCCAGCTCGTGCAGTGCGCGCTGCACGGTATCGCTGCACCGGCGCGTGTCGGCGCTAGTGTGAAAGTGAGTGATGTGCACGTACAGTTAGCGGGCTCGCTGGCTCTCCATCGACCGATCGCTTCGGACATGAGGATATCACTGGAGATGAACGGTGACAGTACGTAACACTCAAGCATGCGTTCATCATTTATAACCTTTACTACTATTAGTTACTTAGGAAGTGAGTGATCCCGCATGAGGTCTGTAAAGTCTGCAAACGAGTGCAGTGGAGTGGTACGAGTACACGTGTCCGCGCCGACTCTATCGCGCCCTGCAACAACTTTGAATGCGGTTTTTATCGCGATGTTTTCGCGGTAATTACTCGTACGACGTACCGAGAACTTTATTCTACTTTACTATAGGATCGTATTACGAAGCAATTTGTTATTAAAGTACAATTGAATGAAAATGGGCCTTTTTGCAAGTAATTAATGGAGAATACCTATAAATTTCAAGTATGAAATAATTATCAATTATTTCAAGCATACCGAACGTATAGTCGAGCTGTTGTTTAAACAAATATAGTTGCGTTAGATACAAAAAAACGTGTTTTGTTTAAACCTAAAACACACATAAGTAAGTTTGCACACTCTATTAAAATGTTGTATCTGCACTATAAATTGCCATTCCCAATCATCGTTCAATATCTTCTGATAGAAAAGTATTATTAATTGATACTATCATAAGGTAAAATAAATTGAACACGTTTAGTAGTTTGTCTTAATAAGTGATAAGAGGCTTGTCAACCTCCCTCCCTCCAATTGATTCCAACTTAAACTTCATACTTTATATCCAGACTTTGCTGGGAGTGACTGTTAAAGGTAACGGGAGGCAGGTCTCATGGAGATCAGAGATCATTCAATTGCCTGGTTCCTCTTCATCTGGACGGAAGAGTAGGTAATAGCGCTCTCCCATTCCTTTCCACTGCTTTTGTAAATTAATTACAGAATGAATTGGTAAAAGAGTTTTGACAGAGAGAAATTTAGGCAACCAATGGCCAAAGTTGATAAATCTGAAGTTAGTCTTAGCAACTAGGCATATTTATAACACCATTTATTAGTGAAATGTAAAATGTTAAACACTTTTTATTTAGTCGTCAGTCGTTAGTAGCAAATAGTCATTGCTGGTGTAGTCATTTATTGCAATTTTGAACATTCGTTTCCGTCCATGTAACTATATTTTTACCGCTACAAAATGTTATAGGCCCCTTATATTTTTTGTCATTCGCTCCTCGCTCATCCTTTAACACGATACCCATCGCAACATCTCTTTCTCGTTTCTTGTCACTACATGTTCCTTCAACCGTTTTCTTACAGCACCATTCGATGAGATAAGAAAACAGTGTGGCTCTATCAGTAAATCTTACATTACACATACTTCTTGAAGAATGCATTTCCACAGCATTAACTTTACTCTCATGTTTCTTCTGCAGTCTTGATGCAAATGATGCCAAAATGCGGGGCACCGTTTACTGAGTTTTTCTTTCGTACTCTTCTCTCAATATATTTGTCATGTTTTAGATTTCTTGTATATACTCGTACACTTTACAAGCTGTTATCTCTTCATCTTTTTAAAACACTTTTGGTTTGCTATTATACTTGTCTAGCTCATCATTCATGATTGTTATCACGTCCTGCGATTCATTCGGCATCAATGCGAGTCCGAGTTACGTCAGAAATCGAATCCTTGAATGATAATGTACTGAGGTTGACGATTGTACCAAGATTGTACGAAGTATCCAAGGATTTTCTTTTCTTATGCTCTTCATTCAATCCCTTGCCGCAAAAGAAACATAATTCTTTAAAACAAAACGCTGAATTACTTACGCGTGCTCTAGTACGAGAAGTTTTTTCTGTAGATGTACTGGATCCTTATTCTTAGTGTTGTCTTTTATTAGCTGCACCAATTGAAACTTTCGAGTGTAATTTTTCGACACTGCACATGTATTGTCACAGATCTCAGATTTTTCAGATATTCCAAAAATAAATCAGCTCTTTCAATACTTGCATTGATTAATGTCTTCATGCCACAATTAACAGTATCGTTTTCACCTTCACTTAAAAGTTTTCTAGAAATAAAACAAAATTACGATATTTTCGTTATAAAACTCAAAACAGCACGAATTAGATTAGAAAATATTAAGAATAAACACGTCTTTCACTACGGAGTAACGCTGAAGACTTATAATATTTTATTTATTAAACATTTTAAGAGAATGCAGGTAAACGACCCTTGCCACGCAGATAATTCAATAGGAGACAGATGTTCTTGAAGGTTACACTGCTGCACTGGCGTATATGAGAGTCTGGGTTTCTTTTGACCTGACATTCTAATTATTATACTATTTTGTATATATAAGTTACATAGACCGATAGATAAATATTCTTTCATGTATTACAGCTTAATTGATGTGTATACGTGGCGTTTATTATGTGTAGATCATGAAGATTACAAGTTTATTAATTTTTAGAATCGTTTTAGAAAATTCCAGGTACGAGATCGAGGTGTACTTTTCAGCATTCATTTATAATGGTGCTCCGAGCATTCAGACTACTTATTAGCTCTATACTAATTTTTGTAGCTTCACTACATTTTTAAGGACTGATTTGACCGGTCTATGTAGTCTTAGTCATAAATGAAAATTAGTATATTATTTAAATAGTAAAATAATAGTTTTTCTATATATTTCTATAAAAGTGCTGTAATGCTGAAATCAATACACTGGTATTCTATAAAAACTTCTATTCTATTCTATTCTTAAATAGTATGATGTATGTATAGTATTTAATACATATGTTTATGCATGAGAACTATAATTATGTTTCATATTTTAAGACTTTATTTATTGCTTAACTCGTATATACCTACCACCAGTTTAAAATAATTACAATCAATCCATAGGTTGTCTAGAAGTAATCGCTCTGAGCGATAAGGCATTATTTCTGCAGTACATTTTATGCTTTACGATACCTCCGAAAACCCTGGTGTACAAATAAAGTATTATCTATCTATCTGACCCGATTATTTGATCCAATCCAATTCAACATGTAAGTACATGTTTTAAAATATTCCTTCTTCGTGCAACTACAAAAACATTACAGTTTTTTTGTTAATAAATTAGTCATGTTCGCGCGCACTTACTTAACCGACACGAGAATTCGGCTAGTCGGTGGGACAGTAGGGCTAGTGTGACACGGCCTGTCATGTCCGTAGAGGGTGCGAGAGCAGCGAGCGCGGCGGCGCAGCGGTAGCGCGCGACACGCGAGGCGACATGTGGCGTGCGCTGGCGGCGCTGGCGCTGCTGGGGCTAGCGCGTGGCGCCGCGGGCGGCTGCGGCGTGGCGCAGTTCGCCTGCCGCAGCGGCGCCTGCGAGCGTCTGGATGCCTACTGCGATGGAGTGGCGCAGTGCGCGGACGGCAGCGACGAGCCACCAAACTGCACGCCCTGCAACAGGACATACTACGGGCGCGTGGGAGTCGCGTACTCGGTCGGCGTACGCGACGCCACGCGCGTACCTTTCCTATGTCACATGACGTTCACCGCCGGAGGCACGGCGCACGGGGATCTCGTGCAGCTCGCCTTCGATGAGTTTCGTGTCGGTCGTTACGAGCCGGGCGCGCTGGACGGCTGTCCGGACGGGTACATGCAACTGTCGGAGCTGGGCCGCCCCTTCACCGGAGGCTCATGGTGTGGCAAGGCGGACGGTGCAGCGCTTTACTACAGCGAGACGGCGACGGTCACGGTGTCTGTGAAGCTGTTCCGAGTGCGTCTCGGTGAGCCGTTTGGCTTTCGCTTGCGTTATAAATTCCTCGCTCAGCGAGACGCGGTCGTGAGGTGGGTGAAGTTCAGTAGGGAAGTGTCATGTTCTACAAGTAGGTATATCGCTAAACTAACGTGTTCACATTCGGTAGGTTCGGTGCTATCGAGGCGCCCCTGGAGCGCGGGTCCATCTCGCCTGGCACGTACTGCACCCGCACTTACGAAGAGTGTCATCGCAAGCCGTGTCGACTGCAGAGCCCGAACTACCCTGGCATGTATCCTAGGTATTTCATACAATTTTTATTAAGGACAAAACAAGGTGTAGGTCCTGACCGCGTCCAAAATAATATTTTTCAACTTTCTTTTTTGATGTTTAGGACATTTCTCAGTAATTAGTGTAAGCACGAGTATGTGCGTGTTATTTGGCTCCCAGCATTGCTTTGGGCGTAATTAAAAATAATAAAATAAAAATAATTTATTTTCAAGTAATTACTAACCCCGGTGGCCCGACACTAGGCAAGCCTGTCCTGGGCCTAGGGCGGTATAGTTATGGGGATCATGTGTCAACTAGGGTGAATTTCCGAGCGTTTAGGCGATTCTGCCATACATATTATAGAAATCAAATATAGCTCACCTAGGAGTCGTAATATTTTGTGGCCGTGGTGCTTCCCTGTTTAAAAGGGTGTATACCTATTTTACTTCATTTTGTCTCCCGCTTTGCTAAGGAAGTGGATTTACTGTATTTCCAACTCCTCCAATTTTCTTTTGACTGATTAAAAAAAGCGACTAATTAAATCAGCGGTAGCCTAGTGGTTAAGGCATTGGACTTGTGATCAAGAGGTCGTCGTTTCGAATCCTGACCAGTGCACTACCGACGAGAACTCACTTCTAACACAAGCAATTTAGCTCAGCTGGAGGGGTTAACAGGAATACTAGTAATTTCGGCTGCTAGTAAGCCTTTAAAAAAAAATTCGTTGCAGTTTCCAATTTTAGATTAGTATTTCAAAACAAACCATAGACAACATAATGTGAGCCGTCAGTTGCTTTTCGTTATAAAACTCAAACTCTTTATTTCACAAAAAAATTAAAATTGTTTGAAACCGTCTTTTATATAGACTCTAAAGTCATAGATCAACACACACAATAGCAACAATCTCTGTTTTGTCAAAAAGTAAGCAAATAAATTCAATAAAATATTACCTCATACAAAATCTATGATATGCCTGTGCCGATCTACAACTGCCTGTTTCCAAGGGGTTGAGCTTTATGAAAAGAAAGGGCAAACAAACTCATGGCCACTCTTTTGCAATTCACAGGTAGATACAACGACATTATTAAATATACCACAACATTGTTTTGATGTGTGCCAGTATGTCCGTCATTAAGGACTAAAAGATACAAAAACAATGAAGAGAAAACAAGATTAAGAAAAATAAAGTCGGTTTACTGACGATAGTTGAACGTGACAACGTCATAAGAAAATACTGATGGAATGGTTGCATTTTCCAAAAATGTATTATTGTATACGAGTAGCAGCTGTCCACGCGGACGCATCGCTCACTCAAGTAGGAGAGAGACAGATGACGAACGCTGCCGAACGCGGAGGCCGATTGTGCCTCTTTGTCATTCGTTCCGCGCTCTCGCTTGCACTTCACGCCTTAAATGGAACGCCTCAGAGCGAGGTAACTCCGCATGAGTCATGTTTTTTCGTGCGTGCAGCCGGCTCCATCGAATTATAAGACGTTATCACGTCAAAAACGAATAAAAGATAAAATGAAGTGAAACATAAAAAATAGTAAAAGTAATAATAAAAAATACACTAGCCTACACTACATTTTTACTTATGAAATAGCCTGCACTAATTAATCCCAAGCATTTTTGTCTTCTATGTAATCCACAATTGAGTAGTAGGAACTCTGGCACAAGCCACGTTTTATTGCGGATTTAAATTTGTTAATACTTAAGTATTGAATACTATACCATAATTTACAAATGAACGCCTAGACTGATGTTATTTTATGTTTTTTTTTATTGATGAATATTATATTTTAATATATATTATCCTATTCCGGACGAAGACAAATCCAAAAACACATTTTTTTTATAATATTTCGACTTTATTTTATATAATATATACGAGTAGATATGTATTTATTTAGAAATATGTAAGTATGTTTATTAGCAGTGTGGTTACCATAGCACAGGCTCTGCCTAGTTTAGAATCAGAAGGCCGTGAGATGTGTGAAGTTATTATTATGACGTTTTGAAGTGGGTCAAAATCACGTTCGAAGATTCTGTTACATACATACATATGTACATACCAAGCTAATAAAAGCGTGTTAAAATAGACGAAGCTTTGACCATTGGAACACGGCCTCTCTTTAGTGGTAGCCATATACTGTTTGTAGTCTGGGTTGTATTTATCTTCGTACAAGAGTGTTGTTGTAAGCGACACGTCTCACTGGCGACTCTGAGCGTTAACGCGTGTAAGATGTTGGTCAGGAATGGCATATCTTTGGATAACTACGCACAAAAAGAGCTTAATCGTGCTCCACGCGCATTTCTTTTATCGACGTAATCCATTATTGTCTATAATGACTGTTAGTAATGTTTGTCAGGAACGTGACTTGCTATTGGAGCCTGCGTCAGAAGGACATCCCCACGTGTAAGCACGCAATGATTTCGGTGCGTCAGGAGTACTCGCACAAGATGCAGATAAAACGTTCTATATCTATGGCAAGGTATGTGTATTTTAAGGCATAATTTTATGCACGTGTAAGATGTCATTCAATTAAATAATATATTTTGTACTTTGATGTATTCGCACTTGCGCCACCGAATTAAATAAAAAGCGATTTAGGATGCGTTGTTTTGCGCCCTTAGCCGGCTCTTACGACACCCACGGGATGAATTGGGGTAGTGACATTCCGTATTCTTAATCCGTCACTACACGGACAATAAAAATATCTGTGAGAGAAATGAATGAGGGCGGGCATACGTTATGCTGTGGTTTTCATAGTACAGAGGAGTCAAAAGATAGTAGAGAATGTTGCTTAAGACCTGTGTACAAAATGAATAATTGTCGAACTAAGTGTAAGGACATTTTTTATAAAGTTCCACTGTAGGAAAACGAAATGGAAAGGGATTTGTGCCCTCTCTAGCTTTAGGAGTAAGGTTTTATAGGTTTCACCCAAAATTGGCAAAGCCCTATGTAACCTTTCTAATAGTAGTAGTGTCAGCGACCCCTCGTAGCCTCTTGAAGACATACATTAGTTTGCGCATTCGTGTAGTGAACAATTCGATGTGACTGTTAAAGTTTAGATTCTGGTCTATTAGAACGCCAAGATATTTTATAGTGCTCACATTCTGCAGTTTTGGACATGTACACTGAGAGTTTCAGAATTCCAGAATTTCCAGAATTAGAGCAGCAATGGGATACAATAGTCCATAGGTTGTCAACTTGAAACCTCGTTTTGAAAATGAAACATATTTTGTTTTGTCCGCATTTTACGTTAGGATTTCATTAGGCCATTTCGTGACAGTATCAAAGCCAGTCTGCGCGTAAGCGAAGACCTCCTCCCATGGGATATAGGTATGGGCTCATCGGTGTTGCACGAACAATGAAATGTAAGCAGGCAATATAACGCGCAGCTTGAACAAGACGGGGCGCGTGGTGCGCGCGTGGCGCGAGTGCACGGGCGAGCGCGACCGGCTCATCTTCTACGACGGAGCGTCGACCGACGACCCGGTGCTGGTGGAGTACTGCGGCGGCGACTGGATGCCGCGCGTGACGTCGCGGGGCCCGGAGATGCTCGTCGCCTTCCACTCGTCGCCCTTCAGCGCACCGCTGCGCCCCCCCGCCCCGCCGGCCCCTCTGCGCGGTTTTGAACTAGACGTGGACGTCGTCTTCGCAGATTCAGACTCTCTCGACTACGCCAGGTTATTTTTAATTTACTCTTCACCTCCAATTTTATTAATTTAGTTTTAATTATATTATACTAGCTTTGCCGCCCGCGAGGATATTCGCTGTCACGGTAAAAAAAATTCTATTGAAAGCGTAACAAACTAACAAACTCATTTCCACTTTATAATATATAAATAAATAATATAATATATAATATTATATATTAATATATATATATAGATTATATATTAAAATCATGGAAATGTAAAAAGAAAAAACATGAAAGCTCACTCTCTTTTTACTAAAAAAAGAGCAGCCACTGCCCCAGAGACTAGGAGAGGGTGCGTTGAAACGGTGACAGTGTTTAACCTTATCTGGAGTAGACTGTTTCCTTGATATCTTCGGCAAATTGTCTCCACGTTTTATCCCCTTATTTTACAGAAAGTAAAAGTTGGTGTCTGTGCCATCTACTAATCAGTCTACTCTACTATCAATTTCTAATAATTGTTTTTCTACAGTCATTGTAATTATTTAATGTTGGGGTTTCAAAGATCGAAAAAGTAACCAACGCGACTCATTGTTGTTAATAGAGGTATATCAGTACGTTGCAATGTTAAACAGGGAGGCACGACGGTGCGAGTTCCACGTCAAGGCGTCCTCATCGGAGGAAGAGGCGAATGTGACTTCGACGGGAAGCGGGCGAGGGAGGCGTGGTCGCCTCCGAGCACCCGCGCACACCCTGCCGCCGAACACCACCTGCACCTGGACCTTCCACGGACGACCAGGTTACCGTGGTTCTTTTGCGCTCGTAGACTCCTCACCGTAGTCCACGAAAGACTGATATATTTATATCATTACAGGTGACCTCGTCTGGATATACTTTTCGAGTTTCACTCAGTACTCCCTCGTCGAACCGCGGCGAGCCGAGAGCGCCGAACGAGAAGACGAGAACGGTGTCACGCAGCGCTCGGCTCTCGCAACGAGCGAGACGAACACGCATCTCGCTAGCGGCGCTTGCGCAGTGGAGCTACGCATCTGGGACGGGGGTGGGGCGGAGGAAACGGGCGCGCGTCAACTCGGCCGCTTCTGCGACGCGGCGCCGGCGCTGTGCGCACGAGCCGCACTCGCCAACGCCACGCGGTCGCCTCGGCCCTGCGCGCCGCCCGACGGCTACGTATCGGCCGCACCGCTGCTGTCGCTGGCCGCCACGTCACTGCCCGGCACCGCCACGCATCCTCTCGAGTTCGCGCTTCATTATGAGTTCGTGGACGCGCGGTTGGAGGGAACCGCGCTACCTGAGGACTCGAGACGCACGCCGACCGTGCCCGCTGAGTGCGCGCGCCTCCTGACGTCTCCCGGTGCGTTCGCATCGCCCCGCAACGCTTTGTGGTTCGGTCGCGGGGGAGCACGACGGCTGCGTTGCGTGTACCGATTCGAGGTGGAAGGGGCGCGAGTCGTCCTCGATCTGCAGTCTGCTACGTTCGGCAAGGAGCCGCGGTGCTCTACCCGTACGGACTCGCTCACGGGGCGGTCGGTGTGCATCCCCGAGCCGGTGGAGTCGCACGCCGAGGAGCCCGAGTTCGGCGACGAGTCGTCGGCTGACTTCGACGGGGACGAGGACTTGCCGTTGCGGGTGCCGCATCTACGTATTTATGAATCTCCCTGGCTCGGATACAGGGTGAGCGCGTACTTTAATGTCGAGTCGTCCACATCATTTAAAGAGAGCTAAAAGCTAGAATTTCGTTCTGTTCGTTTATTGTGTACCAGTAACTCTTAACGCCACTGACATGTTTCGATGCAAGCCGGCATGGGTTGCCGTGGTTCTCACTTACAACCAACAAATTGAAACATTGTTTATAACCGTTTCTACCTAAATCTCAACCTCAAAAGTGAGCCGTACGGACTAATGGAGGTATCTAGAAACCACTGTTTAAATTGTCACCACGTCCTAATTTATTAAAAGACATACGTTTACTTTACCAAATAATATACTATTACAAACCAGCTCAAAAATTGACCATAGGTGCAGGTGGCGTGCATCTGTGATAACAGCACGGCTCCTCTTCGTTTGGAGTCCGGTGGTCCCGCGCTGGAACTGGAACTGGTATCGCGCACAATGCTCGCCGGCGAGGACCATCGACACGTACAGTTCCATGGGGTGTGGTCGCGCGGTCCCGCACCCTCGCCCTCCTGCGCGACCAGGCGTAGGTCGCCACCGCCGGGAGCTAGGATACACCTCACATACCCTTACAGGTAGCGAATCTTCTAATCCGACAATTGGTGCCGATGGGTTCGACGGTCGTCGTTAATAAATGAACGAATTTCAGCGACGACAGGATGTCGGAGTGTGGAGAAACACCGTTTCTGCTGGAGGCGCGTGGCAACCGGTCGGTGTTCCTGCGCGTGTGGGGCGAGGAGATGCCGCTACCGAGCGCGGGCGCCGTCGGCGAAGCTCCGCCCTGCGCCACCGCCAACCGCGTGCTCGTGTACGACGCGCACTCCTCGAGTCTCTTGCGCGTCGTGTGCCCCGACGTCGGCGCGCGCTCCGTTCACATCTTCACCGACGAGTGGTGGGGCCGCGGCGCCAGGCCGGGCGCTCTGCTCGTCTCGTGGGTGGCGCGCGAGCCGGGCGAGGCCCGCCTGGCCTGGATGGAGCTGTGGCGCGCGGGGCCCGCGCCTCGGCCCCTGGCACCGGGGGAGGCGTGGCCCAACGCGACGGCGGCGTGCGCGCACCCGTGCGCGTCGCTGGGCGCGTGCATGGCTGCGGCGCTGTGGTGCGACGGCGCGGTGGACTGCCCGGGCGGCGCGGACGAGGCGGGTGCGTGCGGCGCGGGCGCTCGCTTGCTCGCGGCGCTGGTGGCGCCGGGCGGGGCGAGCGCGGTGGCGGCGGCGGGGCTGGCGGCGCTGGCGCTGCTCGTGGTGCTGGCGCTGCGGCGGCGGCGGCGCGCCGCTCCCGACAAGCAGCTGCTGGGTGCGCTGGCGGCCGGGCGGCGCCTCACGGAGGAGTTGCTGTACGACGCGTCGCGCGCCTCCTCGGCGGCGTCGTCCTGACGGCGCGAGCGCTCCGTCGAGTACATCCACGTGGACCGCGAGACCACGGTGTGACGTGCGGCGGAGCGCTGCTGCTCGCGGTGCGATCGAGTGTTCTCCCGATGCGTTGTACGCTCTGTTCGGTTCGTTCGTTGTGTTTTCCTCGGGTAGGTCGTGTGCGGTGCGGTGCCGGTGTCGCTGTAACAGTGCGCGGGCAGATCTCGCGACCTCCGACAGACGATCGTCAGTACTTGTGAGTGAGGTGCAACACGGGGCGGAGTGAAAGATCCTGGAAGTGTTGCGACGATGCTCAAGCGGAACGCACTACATTATTGTATTGTAATTATAATATAATATTATTTGTTTAACTTATAATTTTTTACGAGACGGCGCCATAGTGTGCGTGGGCGCCGTATAGGCTGTGACGTCGCAGGGCGAGGCACCTTCTCTGTCGTTGTGTTATATCTATTGTTGTTTATTGTTATTTATTGACGAACTGTCCCGTCCCTCGATTCATTTAAGTTATCTACGCTGAAATAAATACATAGTTCAAAACTAAGGACGTAAATTATGTGGTTTAATTTTCGTACCTTTTTAATGATTTTATATATGGGTACTTATGTACATGTACATTTGATACGCCAATTCCTATCCTACAATATAAATAGGATACACGATAACCTTCCTACAATAATTTCAACGATTTGGTAATTTTGAAAAAATCATAGGTCACTGATTATGATTACAGAGCACCCGCAGCAAGTTTTGTTTTTTTTTTTTTGAGTAGACAGCTCATCATCGTACGCAGTTAGAAAAAATTAAGGATTACATAGAACACAAGATTATATATGAAGATACTGCTTGGGATTAATTTAGCACAGGCTATTTCGTAGTGGAAATGTGATATGGGCTAGTGCGTCTTTTCCTTAATAATCATTTTTTTATATTTTAATTGTCTTTCTCTTTTTCCATCTTTTTTCTGTGTTTTGTTTTCTCTTCATTGCCTTTTTACCTCTTAGTCCTTAAAACCTACATACTGGCACACATCAAAACAATGTATGTGGTGTATATTTATTTAATGATGCCATTGTTATCTGTTGATTAAAAAAGAGTGGCGTGAGTTGGTTTGCCTTCCTTCTCATGAGGCTCAGCCCCTTAGTAATGAGCGTTTGTAGATCGGCATATAAGAGATTTTCGATACAGTTAGGATTTTTTTTATTTACAATATATTCAGTTTTCTAAATATTTGGCAAATCAGAGATTGTTGCTGTTGTGTGTGTCGATTTATGACTACAGAGTCTACACAAGAGACGATTTCAAATAATAAAAAAAAAAGAAATAAGGATGTTTGAGTTTAATGATTTAAATTTAGGAAGGAATGAGTGCTAGGCGGGTGCTTCGTCATGATTTTCGATCATGCGCACTCAGCTGTGAGCATGAAAAGTTCAGTGGATCCATCCATCCAGGATGCTGCTGTTGATCATTATACTTGTAGCGGCTATCTTTGTCCTATGCATGTGCACGCGGCACAATACTTGATGTTTAAAACCTACTCCAGAAAAGCATATCAAGTACAAGTATTCTTTTTATTATTTTCTTTTTTGACCTTAATTTACTACTACTATTTAGGGATTATAATTGACCACCCTTAAAACCGGTGACTTCATTTATTGATTTGATTGAATTACTCTAATTCAATCAAATCAAGATGTACGAGTAAGGCGATCTCGCTTACTCTTTCACAAAACTTACTTTACATATGGCGCGCCTTACTTCTCGTTTTACCGAAATTCTATTTAAAAATTTCCAACGAAACTTTAAACTATGTGGCAACCTCCAAATGGACAACGATGTTTGGTTTCTTTTCTTCAAACTCAAATATTGTTTAGTGATTAGACCTTGTTGCAGTGCAGTTGTAAGGCCAAACATAGACCAGTTTGCCCCTATCAGGCGGGCTTATAACTAAAGTTAGCGAGGTTCATAAAGATCACCGAAAGAGTCTCCGTCTACAAAAACCAGGTCGATGGAATCTCCATCGGTAACTTTTTCGGATCCACCCTTTTTTTTTTTTTTTTTTTTTTTTCCGTGCGGAAATCCCCTCGGATACCACCTGTCGGTGGCATGTCGGACTCGAACCGACTAAAACCGCACGCCTTCGCCGGGTACTAATAGCCGGGGAACCAGGTATACCCTAGAAAGGAAGGCCCTGGTGCCCCGACATACTTTGGGTCATCTACAGACGAGTAGACGACCCCCGCCCCGTGTGGGAACCCCATGTTCCCTGTGCTCCCTGGAAGCGAGCGCGCTTCGCAACGCGCTCGCCGCCACCCCGGCCTGCTTCTGCTAGGGTGACAGATGGCCTCACCTGTCACCCCCAGGCCTGCGCTTATGGAGGACGGAGGTCGTTCTGCGACCTCCGGCGCCTGAGTCGCCTGCGCTGCCTGGCCCGTGCCCGGGCCTGGCGGGCCGGGAGAGTCCTAAACCTCTCCCGGTCCCGCTCCGCCGTCTGGAGGAGACTGCAGAGTTCCACGCACTCTCGCTCCGCACGATAGCCGCAATCAGGCTATCGAGCGAGAGAACTCCCACTCCGATGGTCGCCACGAGGTCTCGCCTCTGCTCAACCCACGCCGGGCACTCTGCCAGCGTGTGGAGAGCCGTGTCCACGGTCTGGCCATCGCAGTGGTGGCACTCAGGCGTTGGCTCCTTGCGGATCAGACACAGGTGATCTCCGAAACATCCCTTCCCAGTGATCACCTGCGTCAATCGGTATGAGAGGGTCCCGTAACGCCTCTCGAGCCAATCCTCCATAACGGGTCTTACCGCCGCAATGACGGCGTGCCCATTTCGGATCCACCCTCAGATTCCTTTGAAACATTTGAAAAGCGAACTGATGCGTATGAAAATAGATCTAGACATGGTGATCTAGACAGGGCTCATTGTCATTGAGAATTAATTACAATTGGATTTGACAGCTTTTGTGTCGGATATGGCATCTAAATTTGTTAGCTTTTTCGAGGCTACCCGTAACCAATGAGGTAATTATCTGTTTGAATTTTTTTCAAGGGCTGATTACATAATCTTGCCTGGTTGGTATAGTTGGTAAGTATTTCGTTAATTAATTATCCAGGTGTTTTAAAATATTACGAATCCCATTTTAGTATCTCACGCACACATACAGGCCGTTATGTCTCAGACTCTAGGTTCGATGAGTACAAGTGGTGAACGTGGTTGGTAGACTGAATGCTGATGGTTATAAAAAAAAATACAGATTTTACTGCCCACAGGTCCCCACTTAGCTGACATAGTTATGTGATAGATGATCTATGAGTGTTATACATGACAACTGTCAAATGTACAAAGCCCGCGTCACCATGTCTTGGTAACGGGCGAGCGCAAATTTCTCGAAATTATTTTTTCACCAATAACTTGAATCTTAATCTGACGAACTATTTATGGTTTATAACCCATAGTGGCTTGGGGCATACGCACTTGACAATATGCATGATAGACCTTTCACAATGCCGATGTATAATGTTTAAAATATTACAGAACCGAAACTTAAAATTGAATATGTTCAGTGACCATTGCAAACCATTGTGTTAAGTTTGTTTGGATTTGGATATGACATTGTTCAGTTATTTCTTGACAAACTGGTGCTCAGTTAAGCTTATTTTAAATTATAAGTAGTAGAGAGTAATTGTAAGTAGTAGAGCTAGTAGCGTTTTGTGCCTTATGCATGCGTCGATGTTAATGAGTTTTGGAAAGTTTTGTAGTTGTTTGGCGCAGCCTGTACACAATGTCGAAAGCGTCGAGTAAAACCGACTGAACGGACTACACGAATGGCGTTTTAAAAAAATTAACCGAACTTGGTTTGTTTTCAACAAACAATGTCACTGAAAAGGGAAACAAACCAGAAACGATGACATACACCGATACGTTCTCATTTATGTTTTCAATCTTATATCATAATATAGTCTATGACTTTATTGGACAATGATCACTGTGAAGACTTTTTAGGGTCAAACACAGTTTGTTACACGAACAAGTAAAAAAAGTCCTGTCTTCCTAACTAGTATCATATGTGTGTGTTCTTTCTTAGCTTTCGATCGTGATCAAATTTGCAAATAACATTAGTTAGGAGTAGTTAGGATTGCTCGAAGTAATGGCAGCTAGGCGCAGATAAATAAGTCAACTTACGCCGCGAAGTGTGATAATGCCAAACGTCTTTAAATTTAGTGCAAGAAAAAACGTGTGTATTATAATAACACATTGATGCGCTCAACAATGAGTGAGCACATAGCTACTATTTAAACGAAATACAAATGAAAAAAATTATAGAAAAATAAATTATTATTTTAAATATTGTCTTCTTTGAGGGTATCTCTTTAAACTACCCTCAAACACCTAGTCTTCATTCAAGTAGTATTTGTTCTTCTGGTTTGAGTGTCAGTCAGTTTGAGTGCATGAATGTCACTTCTAAGAATAATATGTTTGTAAACGTGAGAGTCCGATTATTTAAACTACCCACATTGACAATTCGTGTGTCGCGTTATGACGACCGGGGGGAGGATGTCGAGGCGCGGTGTGCGGGGCGCGGCGGACGGAGCGTGTTGACTTTTAGCGTTAGCAATCAGCGAGTCGACGAGCACAGCAAGCCTCGCTGTGTCAAATATTTCATGCAAGACCTTTATTAAATGCTAATGTTTGCCGACGTTTCGCGCAATCATAAAGTGAAATGGAAAGTCGACGGAGGCCTTGCTTCGCTCTCAGCATCGCTCAGGCGATAAGGGGCACGTGCTAAACGATCGTCTCCAAGGAATCTCTGCTCAATTAAAACTTGTATATTGAACAAAGTCAAAAAAGGAGGAGGTTGTGAATTCGGTTGAATTTTTTTATGTTTGTTCCCGGTCACGACTTTTACCGGTTGTAACTCCGGTATTTTTTAAACGATTTGGAAAATTCTTATCAGGGGAAGGACATACTTCCCGATTGGTCCCATTTAAATTTGAAGAAAGTAAATA